TCCAATTATGCTGGTTGACCAAGTCAGCTATCAATTCCCAGCACCTCTTATCAGCAGACTGTGCTTCCATTGTGGTTGGACCACGTAAGCTGGAAGCAGCGTCGTACTTGGCGAAGCAGAGGCGCATAATGCGCTTGTTGTACAGCTTGATTGAGCGAGCCCAAGTGAGCACCTTGACAAAGCGCAATAGAATTGGCAGCAAGTGACAAAAGCTGGCTCACCAGACCATAGGAAGCGGGCCCTTCATGGATATCCCGGGAGGGAGCCTCGTCAAGAAGCAGGTCGCTGAGTTCTGTGAAGCGGGCCTGTTTTCGCGGTCGCACCAGCAGGTTATCCTCCTGGGATTTGGTACTCAAACGAAATTTCCAAGGGAGCCACCTGATCTCCTTGTCTGAGATCATGTTGCTTGTAAGTGCTAGTCAGCGGGCACTTGGGAAACTTTCAGAGTCAAGCAGCTCTGTTGGGTAATCCTTTTCGAAGCGTTTGCGGAGCGTCGCTGTCTTCTCCGGAGCTTCGCGGGCCATCCAGGAAGAGGATAGCAAAGCGGCAGGCTGGGCTGCCTTGGGCGCCGCTGCTGAGGGATCCGCAAGCGGGATGCCCGGGGCTGGCGCTGATTCCATGGAAGCAAGTCCCTCAGCCTGACGACATCTGCTATACAGCAACCGCAAAGAAGCTTTAGCGACGAACTTCTCCGCAGCATCCGATACTGCGGCCTCGGAGATAAAATGGCTTATCATCTCCTCCAGCTCCGACGTCGATGTGCATGCTCGAGCGAACAAAGATATATCAAAGGAGGACGGCAGGGCCGAGACCGTGGGAGGCACATTGCACTCAACCGAGAGTTGTGCGAAGTCGGACATTGGACCTTGCACCGGCAAGCAGGATATGATTCAGAGAAAAGCAAAGTCGGAGACTGCATAACTGAGGGCCGGGCAGTGCTTGTTTCGGTACCTGAAGCGGGGGATGATCAGCAAAGAGAGAGCCGTCTGGGCCTTGTGCCTGGGAAGTGCTGAGCGGTGTCATCGCAAAGTGCAAGATGCAAGACAGGCCGAGCTACCGACAATACCGATGGAAAGTGGTTGAAGTTTCAATCGGTGCCTGGATCCGGTGTCTTGCTTGCTGTCCTTGTCAATCTCTGTTAACCTGTCCATTGGCGTCCATGTTCACGTCGTGACAGTGCTTCGTCCACTGGGTTGTAAACGTTGACCATGTCGGTAGCTCTCCCCCCTGTGTGGAGGCACTCTCGCTTGCTTGCTTGCTTGCTTGCTTGCTTGCTTGCTTGCGTGCGTGCGTGCGTGCCTGCCTGCCTGCCTGCCTGCCTGCCTGCCCGCCTGCTTGCCTGTCTGCCTGCCTGCCTGCTGGCTGGCTGGCTGCTGGCTGGCTGGCTGGCTGCTGGCTGGCTGGCTGGCTGGCTGGCTGGCTGGCTTGCTAGAGGGTATGGAGGCCTAAAGCCCCACGGCCCACGGCCCAAAAGCCTACCCAGGCGCGAGTCTGGCAAGTCTGTGAGCCCCCTCTGGCATTGGACACGGCTCAACCAATAATCACCTACAAACTCTCTTGCTTGCACTCAGCCAAAGGGAAGCCTAAGCCCCCCCCGCGCGCGTGCGCGCACTGGGTCTTTTGTCCTTTGTAAGACCCCACTGGAGGAACTTCTGCGCTGGCCGGCACCGGCAAGACCCCCGACCCTTTACACTACCTAGAGAACCCCCAGCCGTATCCTCTCCTGTGGGCCGCCGTGTTAGCGGACGGAGGGCTTTGATCCGTTTCTCAAAAAAGCTGTCCTTCTTTGACGCACCACACTCTGTATGCAGTACTGAAGGTTCACTCTGAGGTCCCAGCCACACTGCTACAACTGGACAGAACAACAACTCGCTCACACACTGCTGAACTGACCTGCTTCTGCCTGTGACCGGACCCCTACTACGCAGCACACTCCACAGCACTACCGGACTACCACACGAAACCTCTCGCTAGTAGGCACTGGCTTCCTGGCACGTAACAGAACTCAGAGCCTAACGCACGACAGCCTCAGCAACACCCCCAAGGTTTACATGTCCCCAGGATGCCAGAAACCTCCTTGCTCGTCGTAGACTGCCGCGTGCAGGCGGCGCCTCCTATGACTGTCCCCTCTCAGTAGCGCAGGTTCAGGCCCAGTTGGAGCTTCTTCCATAGCCGCCAACAGGTCGTCCTCGTCCGTGGGTCCCCACGGGTCTTCGTCCGGCATCGACTGCGGCATGTCCAGCGGCGGAACCCACGCTTCCCCCTCTGATTGCGGCTGGGGCTGGAAGAGCGAACGTTGGTCCCCTTCCTCCGTCGTCTGTGTGTCCACATGGACCATGCTTTCAATCCTGGCGGTCAGGTCCCCCACAACAGTCGCACTTCGTCATGGCCTCGCACTTGAAAAGGGAGAAGCCCCCGTATGGAGGTCAGCACCGACTGCAGCCTGGCTTCCGGTGGCCCCCCTCTGGGTGGCACCATTCAAGGCCGCCACATCCGATGCGTGCACAGTTCAGGAGGTCGAGCTCCCATGCAACATCTGGCGTCCCCCAAGAGCAAAGCCACTGTGGACGCCCAGCTTGAGGAGATCCAGTCGAAGTCCCCCACAGTGGCGGCTCCCAGTGCCACTTCGATGGCTTCGTGAGCCTGGCAGAGTCCTTCGAAGCTGTGTGCGACCTGGACCCCCCCAGGCCGGCCCTGGCTCTCTCAAGTTCCTTGCGAGTTTCCATAAGGTTCCGCATGATGGCCTGTTGGTTGGGCCCATCTGCTCCCCATCGGAGCAGTCTTCTGCGCCTTTTGCGAGGTGGTTCGCGCAAACACGTCACGGTCTGCTGCTCCCCCGTCGCCGTGACCACCATCGGGTGGTGGCCACCCACTGCGTCCATGGCATCCTCGCTTGTCTCTGGCTAGGTGCCCCCACGGCTGGGCATCCAACAGAAGCGCCATTTCGCGGAGAAAGTACCGCATCATGGCTGCTTCCGTGGTCATGGCTGTCGGCGGTGCCCCTTCTGGTGGCGCTTGGGCACCATGGCTCGAACTGGCTACGTCCCCGAACATGTGTGTCTGCATCTGTGCTGTCTCCTCGTGCTCTTCTTTCTCTGGCTGTGGGTTTGGGTCTGCCCCCCGCGGCGGTGTGGGCCTTGGTGGTGGTGCCGGTGGTGTCCCCCCGGTGGTGGTGTTGTGCTGCTGCTGCCTGTGGTGTTGTCCTCCTCTGCTCGGCTGTGGCAGGAGCCTATAAGGGCCACCACTGTCCCGGCGGAAAGGTGGAACTGCGAGGCGGCGTGTGGTAGACTGGGCCTGCTCCTCGCTGGTATGCCCAGTCGAAAAAGTACTGGGTTGCCGCCTTAGGAGGGATGTTTCCCAGTTGCCAGTGCCCCTCCCCCCTGCTGTGGCTGCCATTCAAGGATGTATCCTGTGCCAGGCCGAAACTCCGTGGCTTCGAGTCCCTCAGCCGACTGATGGCCGTGATGTGGAGCAGCCACTTGGTAGGTTTCCCCCCCGTGATCTCACCCCACGGCAGCAGCGCAAACGCCGTGTTCACGCCTATGTACCCCCCCGGTGCTGGAAGGTCGCTGCGGCGTTCCTGTCGGGCTCTGGTAAAATTAACCCCTGCTGGTCATGTCGTATTCCGGTGCTGCTGTGGAATGCTTCCCTAAGACAATGCCTGCCCACACTCCGTAAGGAAGCGCCCTCAGGTGAAGGTAGGCCCCCGCTGAGATGGGGAGTTAATTCTGGTGGGAACGTGAGCGGGTGTCCGGCCCCCCCCCGGGAAATCAACATGACGTTGATGTGCCCTTCCCATCTCTGGTGGTGCTGCTGCTGTCCGGTCGTGTTGGTGGCACTGCTGCTGCTGGCTCTGCGACGCCTAGGGTCGGGTGGTTGCCCCCCTGCTGTGCTGCCTCGGGTGGCCGGCCGGTGTGCTGCTGTACTGCTTGGGCCGCCGTGGTTCGCTGGTGGTTGCTGTGGTGGTCCCCCCTGTTGGCCGCTACAAACTCTCTCTCTCTCTCTCTCTCTCTCTCTCTGCTTTGCTTTGCTTTGCTCGGGGTTTGAGGCGGTAGCAGTCCTCCCGCCCCGCGCACTTTCTCTCTCTCTCTCTCTCTCTTTGCTTTCTCTCTCTCTCTCTTGCGTGCACGCAGCCAAGGGGTCGGTCACCCTCCCCCCGCGCACAGGTGCGCACTGGGTTGTCTGTGGTGAAAAAGTCTCCTTTGTTGGAACAGGGCGCCGGCTTGGACCGTTAAACACCCCTGAACTTTATCTAAAAAAACCCGCCTCGCGCCTCGTCCCACGAAGCCGTGTGGGCACTGTGTTGTGCTCAAAAGCTCCGTGGAACACTGTTTGCCCCCCGGTAGCGAGCACTCATGGCCCCGCTAGTCCCCCGTTTGCAACACTTCGAAACTCAGCACACTAGCACAACAACTGACTGAGGCCCTGGCCGACTAGTGTCACGGAACTGTTTCGGTTGCTTGGGGACTGTTCTGCTACGTTGGCTTCGGCACCCCTCGAATAGAGCAGCCTCTCGCTCTCTCTGTCTCTCTCTCTCTGGCTCTCTTTCTCTTTCTGGCTCTCTCGCTCGCTCTCTCTCGCTCTCTCTCGCTCACTCTCTCTCGCTATCCTGTTTTTCTCTGTCGTTTTTCTTTTTCTCTCTCTCTCTCTCTCTCTCTATCTCTCTCTCTCTCTCTCTCTCTTCGCTGTCTGTTCTCTCGCTCTTTGATTTGCTCGGGGTTTGAGGGAGGCGGGGGGCCTGCCTCTTTCGCTTCGCTTCGCAAGCGCTCTCTCTCTATTTCTCTTCTTCCGCAGGGCATTGCGGGCGCGTCAAACCGCCTGGCCACATGGGCCCCCCATTTGTTACTCTCTGTGTCGCTGGTCGAAGCCCCTCGCACACACGCACACACGCACACCTACATACTAATCCCGAGAAAACCCTAGAAGCCCCCCCAAAAAACCCCAAGCCAAAGAGAGGCCCCTTTGGAAACCCTAGGAGGCCCTAGGCTTCGCTTCCTGGCCTGGGAAAGGACTGAAAGTCGCTGGCTGCCTGCAGCACTGGGCCTGGCCACCAGCAGCTGCTGGGCACAGCAGGGGCCGCCCCCATGAAATGCTTGAAATATATATATATATATATATATATATATATATACTTCTTCAAAAGAAGGTGTACTGCCGATGTCTTACGGCAGACAAATTGCCTCCACCTATGCATGTACATTGCGGATGACCCAACGACACCGCCAGGCGCGCTCGGGAATGGGAGCCCCGGTCGGGCCGCCCGTGGCCTTGGGAGCATGGACGAGGACATGATGCTTGCCGTCTTTCTGGTGCGGTTTGCGGGTTTTGCATGGCGGTACTGCACGAAAAAGCATTCCAGTGATGCCCACGGCAGTAGCCGCTGATGATACGGATCCCTGTATCAGCAATCGAGATAACAAACACGCTGGAGCATGTCGCCGTAAACTCCAAAAGTATTGAACACTGAGAACTTGGGCCTCTAGTCGTGGCACGTTCTTCTGACACGCTCAGTATCTTGGCCAGTATCAGTATCGGTGTCCTTACCATCGTGATCATCATCATGGTTGTCATGGTCATCATGTCATCATCATGTCATCATCATCAACAACATCAACACCATCACGATGACCATTGAACTATCGCCTTCCCTGCAAGCGGCACTGCCAGCGTTGTCCTTGTCGCATCTTGTAACTGAAACATGTCTCCAGGAAGCACTTTAACAGGCCATGACATCACCACAAGCCCGGCAGCTCAACCGCCAAGCATTCAAATCTTCTCAAGCTCTCAAGTCTTCTGAGACTCTGGCGGCCTTGGCCAGCGCATTGGCCATGGCCTTCTGAGACATGATCTCGCGACCTGACCGGCTGGATTCAAAGAGTCCGTTTCACAAAGAGCTTCGAGTTGGGGACCAGTTCGCTTTCGACCGATGGACTCCAGAAAGATCTGCATCCTCAGCTCTCCAAACACGAAAAACCTTCGTCTTTCGGTCTCCGGTCTCTCTTGGCTGACCCAACTACGATGACAATGTCAAGGAGGAAGATGCAAACCTCAGAGGTCGGTGTACGTTGGAATGGAACTCCAAACCTTAGGCCATAAAGCCCCCCCCCCCACCGGATTCCTGCACTCTAGCCCCCGTCGGTTCGAGACTTCAAGCGCTCTCACTTCCTCTCCCCAGCCTCTGAGACGCGCGGACGGAGGGACGGGGAAGGCGGTGAAATGGACGGAGCGGGCTGAGAGATCAGGGATCTCGAGATGGAGCGGTATTTGGAAGGCCTGTCCTGGATTTGACGGCTACGTAAACAAAACGGCTGCAGCACATGCGCGATTGAGGAACGGCCGGTCGCTTCTCTCTCGGGACGGGGACTGGCATTTGCGAGGACCTGTCTCTATCCGCAACATTGCACCACTTCGCACTGCGGCACGGGACCATGCAACATGGGACCATGCGCGAACTGAGAGCTCTGCCCAAAAGAGGAGCCTGAGCGGAGCTGCGAATCACACACTTCGCTTCCTCGCTCTGGCACTGAACGCGTCCAATCTCAGTGCTCTCAGGCTCTGGCGTGAGAGTCGACTGGATCCATGGACTCACACCCACCCCCACCGCTGCTTTTTTGGCGCCCTGTGCAGCGTTTGTTAAATTTGGGGTGTCTCTCCAAGGGCTGCCTATGCCTTTCTGCCTTTGCCTCTGGCGCTGGACCGACTGAACCTGACAGCATGTCGCATCCGATGTGTCTCCTTTGGACGCCTCTAGACCTCTTCCAAGCAACGCCACTGCTTTAATAACAGCTTAGCTGAAGGCAGCGGGTTGTTTATTCATCAATCATCAGGCCTTTCAATATGGGGCTTTCCACTGTGCCTGTTAAATCACAGTGACACTATGCATCATGGCGAGCGCCACCTGTAACAAGCTACAACACAACACTCGCAGACCTCAACGGCGGCACACAATCGAGGAGCTGAAACAAAGCCTGGCCATTTACAAACTTCGCGATAACATGTTGCACAGCTTGGGGAGCGTGGGGCAGGTCGAGACGTGTCGCGCTCCTCCTCTCCGCCTGACTTGCCTGATGCCGGCTGCCCCCCGCTGTTCTCCCCTCCTCTGCTTTCTGCTGGACACTCGTTGCCACTGCTGCCACTGCTGTTCTTTCTCGGGGCTTTTCGTCAGCCGAAGACACGCTAGGTAAGTCTACAGGTCCGCACTTGTAATGGCCCAAACACGCCACGGGCCCACAACCAAACTCAGGTCAACGGCTTCTCCTTCCGTTTGGCGCTGACTGGCTACAAAGAACTTGGCATGACTCACTCCGTACTGACTCCACCAGAGCTCACAGAAAGGCACATGAAGAGATGCCACACTCTACCATTATGAATGGGATAGCAAGCTACCGTGAGGAAATGTTGGGAATAGCTTTATTCCGATTTGAATACATTTGCAATCCGAAAACAATGAAACGCAAAGTCCGTTCCCAATCCGAAACTAATCCGACCAAAAAAGCAAGCACAATCCGAGCATTCCACCAGCCAGTCTAGCTAAGTTTAACAGAAACACAAAGTTTAACAGAAACACAACACAAAAAACGAATCACAAGCAAAACACAGCCAGTTGAAACACACCATTAAAAAACAACTAAAAAGCAAAAGCAAAGCAAATCACAAGCAAATATCAAGCAAAGCACAGCCAATTTTGCTAAGTTTTGCAGAAACAAAAAAACTAATAACAAATGAATTACAAAATCCGCCAAAAGTCTGAAGACAGACGCGTTTTTTCGTACTTTCGATCGCAACTGTTTCGGAACATACTCCGAATGAAGTCCGCAAAAGTCTGAAGACAGAAGCGATGGTGACTTCAGACGATCATGTTCCTTTATTTTTGTTTGGGCCTGGTGTTGATTTGGGATTTTTTTTTGTTTGGGATTTTTTTCTTTTTGGGGGCTGTGTGCTTGGCCTAAAGCATAGGAAAGCAGCTTGTTTTCTTGCGTTTTACAAGGGAAAACACTATTGTCCGTACGTTTTGGACGGAATCCTATGTTTTTCCTAGGAAAAAACATTACTTTCCTATGGTTTTTTTGTGCTTTTCTTCGGTTTTGCTTAGTAGTTCCCCGGGAAAACACTATATTCCTACGGATTCTGTCTCATGTTTTGAGGTTGTGTGACCTCAAGAAACACAGCAAGATCTGGTGAAACCGTTGACTGGGGGTTTAAGCTTTCATTTGGAAGATTTATGTAGGATCAGATGCCGATAGCCCAAAAAAAACCAAGAAACCAAGGAAGCCAAGAAGACAAAAAACCGAAACGAGACAAGAATGCAGTCATATCGAAACCATGACAGCATAAAAAGTCGAGAGGTTGAAAAGGGGTGCATTTTTTGCTTGCTTCCTGTTTCTCTTTCTTCTGTCTTCGGGGTGTGGGGGGGGAGGGAACAGCCCGCTTTGCTGCAGCCGAATGCACGCAGCGCTGTTGGCACGCCCCGTCATCTGAGACGTCCTGGAAGGTGGCGCAAAAAATACATAAAATAATATTATACCGTATCAAATAATGGAATATGTTATAATATAATATATCATAGTATAATGTAATCTGATAAAAAAACTACAACTTAATATGATAAAATAAAATGCAAATGGCATGATTTGGCATAACATATACTAAATAGTCAACGTAATATAATATGATACAATAGACTACAATAGAATAAAATATGATATGATAAAATATCATACAACATAAAGATGAAACACTATACTAGAATATGATGTAATATGACAAAACAGTAATGAAACACAACATAATACATTATAGTTTAATCGAATATATATATTAACATGAAATAACAGAACATAATATGACACAAAAAAACATAATAGAATACTACATGATGAAGTATGAATCATGTTGATACAATGGAATAATGTGAAACAATATAAAATGACGTTCTACTATTATAATGTAATGGAATGTGATATAGTATAACATAGAACCATACAATATATAATACAATACAAATTAATACAATATCCTGAAATATGGTGTATAACATGGAATGATATCATATAATATGATATAATATGATATAATATGATATAATATGATATAATATGATATAATATGATATAATATGATATAAGATGATATAATATGACATAATGTGATAAAATAAGATATAATATGATCTGATCTAATATGATATAATATGATATAACATGATATAATCTCATACAATTCGATATAATATGATACAATTTTATCTGATATAACAACATAAAATATAACATCATGTAGTATATTCATATACTATCATATGACAAAATATTCTACAGTATAATAAACGATGATATATATATATATATATATATATTGATACGATTTATTTAAAATAACATGACATAGTATAACAGAACGCCCTATGGCATAATATAGAACAAACAATGACGCACCCCCTTTTGCAAACAGAATGTCTTTATGATGAGCTTTCAAAAGCTCCAAAACAGCTTTGTGTTTGATGCAAGTCTTGTTCATGATGCGATATTCTTGAAAACAAGCTTGCGCGGCTTAAAAAGAAAGCGGGGAGGTTGGGGGGGGCGCACCCCCCGCCCCCATTTGCAAACACAACGTCTTTATGGCGGGTTCTGAGAAGGTCCATATGGGTTCTGTCTTTGCTGGCAAAATGATACCTGAAGCGATATAAAATGGGGACGCACCTCCCCAATTCGAAACAGAATGCTTGTATGATGAATTTTCGAAAGCTCTAAAACAATTTTGTGTTTGGTGCAAGTCTTGTTCATGGTGTGATGTTCTTGAAAGCAAGCCTGCGCGGCTTAAAAAGAAAGGGGGGTTCGGGGGGGCGCAGCCACACCCCCCATTTGCAAACACAACGTTTTTATGACGGGTTCTGAAAAGGTCCATATGTGTCTTTGCTGGCAGGACGATGCTCGAAGCGACCTTGCTCAGTTTTAAAAATGTGTACATATATATATATACATATAATTTAACATGACATAACATAGCTATAATCAAACATACTATAATATATGGGTAAAAATATCATATAATATACACAAAATAACATGACAAAATACATTAGAATATACAGAAATATAAATATAAATGTAAATATAAACATAAATAAGTGTGTATATATATATATATATATGTATATATATATATTCATAAAATGTGATATGATATACTTTGATACATTGTAATATACTTTAATCTAGTATGACTCAGTTTATTACGGTATAATTTAATGTAGCGAAAAAATGAGATAAAATATGATCTAATATGATATAATATAATGTCGTATCATATAACATCATACGAGCTATATAATATGATAGAATGCAATACAATATACTAGAAGATAATACACTTTAATATATATACATGTAATTCAATATAGAATAATATGGTATAATACACGAAGCTGTAAGCAGTCGAAAGGCCAAGAAGCCGAGTGGCCGAAAAGCCAAGAAGCCACCTCTGCTCACCCTTGCTTCGAAAGGTATACTTGTAACCTTCTATACTTACTATACATCCTGAAAACTGGGCCAGAGGACCAGGGGCTGCACCGGACCAGGGGACCAAGAAGACCAAGGGACCAAGGGACCAGGGGACCAGAGGACCAGAGGACCAAGGGGACAGGAAAAAGCCGAGGAATCCACTGCAGTAGCGATCATGCTTTATCCAAGCAAGTGTCAGAGTTGTAGCAGGACTATCCGATCATCCGAGAGGTATATGTCAGAATATGTTGGCCTTTCAGGCCTCCTTGATTTTCAATCTTTCTGGTGGTATTCTTCTGACCATACTTCAGCCTTTGAAGCTTTCCCAGCAGTACTTGCAACAATACTTCAGCCTTTCAGACCTTCCAAACCGGAAGATGATCGGAATCCGTCGAAGCCAATCCGCCGAGGCCAAAGGCCTCTGGCCTCTTGATGGTTAATACTAACCAACCCTCTACCTATCCTTCTCCCTGCAGCCCAAACGTAAACTTCCACCCGCTTTTAGCGTCTGGCGTCTTGATGGTTAATACTAACCAACCCTCTACCTAATCCTTCTCCGGCAAACTTCCACCCGCTTTTAGCGCCTGCTTTCGACCCCCTTGCCCGGCTTCCGTCCTGTCAGGCGTGATTTTCACAATTTCCCACCTTCGCCCCTCTCCTCCCCCTCAATTTGTTGCTGATTTTTTGTTTCGGGCCTCCCTGGCCTGCCCGGGCCGGCACTTCCTTCTTCTCTTTCTCCATCTGTTGTTACTTCTCCACTTGTCCGCTGCTTTCCGGCCCCAAGCTCCCTCCTTCTCTTTCCTCCTTTTCCTTCTGCCCCACTTCCTTCTTTTCTTTGTTCATTTTTTCCCCTTTCCCTCTTCCTCCACTACTTTTCCATCTTCCCGCCTTTTCCATCTTCCCGCTGCTCCTTGCCCAGCCCCGCCCCCCCCCCCTGCCCGCCCCCCCAACCCCCTTCCCCCAACTTCTCTTGACTTGCCCTTCCCTACCTTGCCCTTTCTTCTTCCAAGCGTTCTTCTTCCTTTTCCCCTTTTTCCACCTTCCCGCTGCTTTCCTGCCCGAGGCTCCCTCCTTCCCCTTGCTCCCCTTCCTTCTGCCCCAATTCCTTCTTTTCTTTGTCCATCTTTTACCAGTTTACCACTTTTCCACCTTCTCGCTGCTTTCACTCGCGTGTTTTTTTCCATTGCTCTTCTCCTTCGGTTCTCCTTTCCCCTTCCTGCCCTGTTCTCACTTTTTGTGCTCCTTCTGTGCCTGCTGCTGCTGCTGTTGCTGCTGCTGCTGCTTGCGGCGCCCCGCTGCTGGCACTCCTGGAGCCGCCAGCCGAGGCGAGCCGCGTAGCGTTAGAATTATCACTCCTTTCCTTGGGGTGGAGTGGGAGGGCGAACTAGAACAAGCTTTCGAGCCGATAAATTACAGCAGACGATTCCTTGCCTACGAGGACGCAGCATCAAGGAATCCGCTGCAGTAGCGATCATGCTTTTTGAAAGTTTAAAACCTTTTACCAACGTCAACTTCTAATCCTTGTCAACGCACGGGCGGCCCACACAATTTTCCCGCTGTGCTTGAGCCGTCGTTTGACCTGCGGAGACATGCAGTGAAACAAGCTAAATTGGGCATACACAGGAAATTGATGTGTTTGTTACGCCCTCATCGACTCAGGTTGTATTGTACAGCTTGATTCGATCATCAAACAATTTCTGCCATCCACTTCACCTTCGTCACATGCTCCATTGAGCATCTTCTCTTTTCCCATGCTCTTTCGAGCAACTTTGTTAACCTTGTCTTCTTCATCTTTGCTTGTCGTGGATGTAGTCATTGCCGCAAAGTCCGAAGTATAACTTCATCCACGAACACAATTGCTGAACGCCTGTTGCTCCAAGGCTGGCGCTTCGGCACGGGGCGGCTGTAGTATCAGGGGTGTGGGCAAACGAAGTGGAAGCGGTAGGAGCTCTTCTTCCACTGTCATATTTCAGAGATCCTCCCATGCAGTGGAAGCCACATCACACACTGGAAGCACTGAGTAACTTGTGCGGTCGGATGCTCGATCTGAATCCGAATCCGTCCCCGAGTCCAGAAGGGTGTCCACCGGAGATATATATCGGGATTCTCAGTCAATCCGCTCCGCTCCTCCATTGTGTGTGTGCGCGGTGCAGCCCGCGCCACGTCCATATCCACGTCCGCATCCGTCACCACGTCCTGTTCCACGTCCTGTTCCTGAGAGTCCGTCCTGGGTGAGGGAGTGATCGACGATGGAGCGCGCGCGAAGCTGGGGTGGGCTGGTCCTAAGATAGATGGGAGCTCTAGGCCCCATAAAAATCCTGCGGTACATCATCGGGCTATTTGCGGCCACATGGTCGTCTGCAGTGCCGCAGAACCTGAGTGGTGGTGGTAAGTGGAAGGTGACACCTGAGATGACAGTGATCGAGGGCCAGGCAGCTGGGGTATCAGTAACGGGGATGCTCACAGGCACAATGCATTGCGCAGGCATGCAGGCCCAGCACACACTGATCCACTCTTTGTACTGCGGAGCGCCAGCGAATCCCTTGAACCCCGCATCCCGCGAGGCGGATGCACTCCCCGTGCCAACCTGACGTAGAGGAGGGAGCGGCCGCTCAACACAGTGGAAAGAGATCTAATTGTGCACTAGCTCCTATATCCCACCACCATCCCCAGAACTCCTCCAGCACGATAGCAGCAGCAGGAGTAGTTAGCTTGCGAGCCAGCCGAGCGACAACCAAACGGGACAAACACACTCAGCTAGCACGGACGCACTTTTGTCGGAAGTGGCAACTATCCCGGTTGCCTGGAGATATCCGATAGCCTTCGGCTATCTATCCCCATGCATCGCCGCTCAGGCTACCAGGGATCTAGCTTCCGGGCCTTACGGCTAAACTTCGACACCCTATCCGGGGTCCTTGGCTTCCGCATGCCTAGCTCCTTATAGAAGCTATCCGCATGCGCGAGTAGCCGGCCCAAAACTCGCCACTGGAAGTCCTCCCCCTTCAGATCTATCCTCTGGTCGGGGTCGAACTCCTTAAACTCCTCGTTGGTGAGGTCATCCGCTAGCTGGTTGATGTCTCTCCGGAAAGCCTCTGCTGTGGATTGATGCTTGCATGCTTGATTTGGCAAATCTGCATTCAGCACGTGGCCATAATGCAACCGAAACCACTTGCACAGCAAAGGACCCAGTTGAGAAAGCTTGCCAGATAAATCAAAGGGTAGTGCCTCTCTCTCGCATCCCTCCCGGAGCCTAGCTTAATACGTGCCTACAAGGCCCCGGACATCTCGGCCAGCGTCCCCAGCGTCCCCGGCGTCCCCAGCGTCCCTGGCGTCCCTGGCGTCCCCGGCGTCCCTGGCGTCCGGCGTCCCCAGCGTCCCCAGCGTCCCCGGCGTCCCCAGCGTCCCCAGCGTCCCCGGCGTCCCTGGCGTCCCTTGCGTCCTCCGCGTCCCTTGTGTCCCCATGCAGCGCCCGCGTCAGTCTGATGTGTACATATATATATATATATATATATTAATTTGTGTGTGTATATATATATATATATATGTATGCATTCATATATACATATATGTATAAGTCTGTATATAATTATGTATATGTCTATGCACATATGTGTAAATACATATACATATGTATGTACACATAAAAACACTTATGTATATACACATATATCATATTATTATGTTCATATATATGTACATGTATACGTATACACATCCATGTATGTATATACACATACTTGTGGATATATATATATATATATATATATAGATATATTTACACATTTAAAAGCCAAAATGTATATGCATACATATATACACGCGCGAGTATATGCTTTTACATACATACAGATATACGTGCATGTAAGTATCACCATCGTCTGAGAAGCAACACTCTCCGGCCATCGCAAAGAAACACCACTACACATCATCATCAAAATTTTATGTCAAAGATTCATGATCTTCGTCAACAACTCGACCTTCAACATCTTCTTAGATCTTTATATACATATGTGTATGTATATGCATATATGTGTACTTACACATATACGTCTACAGGTATGTGTGTGTGTGTGTATATATGTATGGCAGATGTATATATGTACATATATGTACACGTGTGTATAAAAATATGTATATGTATAAGCACATATGTGTACATACATATATAATGTACACATATAAACACTGATGTATATACACATATACCATATTATGTTTATGTGTATATATATATATACATATATATATATATATATGGATGTATATGTATGCATCCATGTACGTAAAAACACATACTTGTGGATATATACATATGTGTATATATATATATATATATATATACATACACATTTATAAGCTACAAGGTATGTATATACATATACATTTGTGTACATACATATATACACGTGTGAGTATATGTCTTTACATACAGATACACGTGCATATAAGTATCACCATCGTTTAAGAAGCAACACTCTCCGGGCATCGCAAAGAAACACCACTACACATCATCCTAAAATTCATCATCATTTCAGAGAACCATGATCTTCGTCAACAGCTGGACCTTTGACATCTTCATAAATCTGTATATGCATATGTATATGTATATGCATATATGTGTATATACGCATATACATCTACATATACATATGCACATATGTGTACATACATATATATGTACACATATAAACACTTATGTATATACACATATATCAGGTTATGTATATATGTATATATAAACGCACATAATATACGTATACATCCATATGTGTATATACACATACTTGCGGATATATATATATATATATGTACATATGTATATACATAACACATTTATAAGCTACAATGTATATGCATACATATAGACACGTGTGAGTACCAGGAGCTTCCAACACACGTGTTTTTAGCACAGGGACTTAAAAGAGGTCATTTCAAGAATAGCATAAACCATGCTTATATGCCACCGTTAGAAAGTGCTAGTTCCCTCATGCTAGGATCCTATTAGAAACGACATGACGAGGATAACCAGGTCCCTCACAAACCCCGAGCTCCTGAATCCCTCAACCTGAAGACCCCGGAAAAGGAGGGATGGGTGTTCGGGTTCTTGGAAACACTGTGACTGCTTAATTAAGGTGTGAGGACTCAGGCGTTGGGCTAGGATCCTATTAGAATCGACATGACGAGGATAACCAGGTCCCTCACAAACCCCGAGCTCCTGAATCCCTCAACCTGAAGACCCCGGAAAAGGAGGGATGGGTGTTCGGGTTGTTGGAAACACTGTGACTGCTTAATTAAGGTGTGAGGACTCAGGCGTTGGGCTAGGATCCTATTAGAATCGACATGACGAGGATAACCAGGTCCCTCACAAACCCCGAGCTCCTGAATCCCTCAACCTGAAGACCCCGGAAAAGGAGGGATGGGTGTTCGGGTTGTTGGAAACACTGTAACTGCTTACACACCTTATAAGGTGTGAGGACTCAGGCGTTGGGGTTTAGGCTTCCGGATCACTGTCTCAGGGATGTGCATACAAACAGAGATTGAAGGAGGGTTCGTTTCTGGGTCTAAGCATTTAAGGAGGTTTCGGATCTGGGTCTCCTCGAATTAGTCAGCATACTCCTCCCTCCTACACAAGAACGCAGAGCACCCCTGAACCCTTAAACTTCGGAAAGACCGAGACCCTAAAGAGAGATTGAAGGAGGGTTCGTTTCTGGGTCTGAAGCAGGATCCCTCCTACACAAGAACGCAGAGCACCCCTGAACCCTTAAACTTCGGAAAGACCGAGACCCTAAAGAGAGATTGAAGGAGGGTTCGTTTCTGGGTCTGAAGCAGGAGGTTTGGGTTCTGGGTCTCCTCGAATTACTCGGCATACTCGTCCCTCCGATCTATCTTTTCACTCAAGGCACCTTGAGCACGCTTACAAGCGGACGATCCACTTTCCTCCGTTTTGGAGCCAGCTGTAGCAGTGTGCTTCCAGGCCGAAGTTCCAGTCTTCGGCAAGCCAGCCAAACAAGTTTTGTCTACACACCACTCCAGGATGTGTGTGCTTCCCAGGCCTTGGGCACCATTGTAAAAACCAGTCCAAAAAAAAATATATATATCGGCCCACATCACTCCAGGATGCAGTTGTCAGCCGAGGCCTTGTGTTGCCAATTGTAAGGGCCCATAAAACATCACTCCAGGATGCAGTTGTCAGGCGAGGCCTTGTGTTGCCAGTTGTAAGGGCCCAAAAAAAAAAACACCACTCCAGGATGTATTGGCAAAAGCGCTGCAAAAAGCTGCCAGAGGCTTGGATCTGCTGCACATGAGGTGGCTGAGAACTGTGATTCACTCATCAGTCTTCAGCCACCTCACGCAGCAGTACCAGCAGTACCTCTGCAGCACCGTCAGTCCAAGCCGACGTGGATGGCACTGCAACGCCAGGCGCTTCATGCGCCCCACAAGATCTTCCTCGGAATAAGCCGAAGTCTGGATGGGGTTCATCAGAACCGCAGCATCCAGACAAAGATGATCCAGCTGATGGCCCTTCGGCCGGACCTTCCACAGCAGCTGACCATGATGCATGGCTTCCGTAGCCAGAGCATTGAGAGCGGAGTGATACATTGTGTTGTAGTACTCCAGCTCTCTCAGCTCCTCGGCATTCAGGTAAAAGCCAGCAGACGTGAGGATTTTCCTCATTGTGCCCAAACCCAGAAACAGTGCAGCACGCAACTTGTTGTGCTCGCTGCCATCTTTTTCAGCTTCTCGAGCACATACCAGCGCGAGCCATCGCACAAGCACCACTGACTCCTTGCATCGGGGCCAGATCATAAAAACATTGAAAGGGGGTTTAGATCGTTCGAAGGTACATCGATCCTTGAGATCGATTAAAAAAAGTTGCTGAATGCCATCCAAGAATCGGCCCCGCTCAGATGTTTCTGAGCGAACGTGGGAAACTTCAGTTTCTTCTTGTTCCCCTTGATCGCATCCAGCTGAAACGGCGGTGCTCTGGAGCCTGAGCTCTGAGTTGGGCTATGAAAAAGGGTCTATTAGGGATAGGGTTCTTTGGGTTTAGGACAGGAGGGTTTAGGAGGGTTCTTGGGGTATAGGACAGGCGGGTTTAGGGACGGGGGTTTCTTCGGTTACAGGACAGTCGGGTTTAGGGACAGGGGTTCTTGGGTTATAGGACAGTCGGGTTTAAGAACTCGGACGGGGGTGCTTGGGGTATAGGATCCGAGGTATTTTAGAGAGAGAGAAATTATATGTGAGATGGATATTTCACATAAAATATATATGCATGTATATATATTTTTTATACCCTAAACCCTAAACCCCTATACCCTAAACCCTAATTACCCTAAACCCTAAATTTATTTATATACCTGCAGCCTGGCATGGCTGGCAAATATATGTCTATATATGTTAAGCCCAAATCGTTGAACCTGAAGGCAGGCCCTAGTCGGTAACGAAGCAAAAGCTTGGGATGGAAACCCTTCGAACAATAGATTTCAATCGTTATATGTGCAGCTGTGCGACGAACCTTGTCCGCGCGGCACATGTTCACGAAGTCAGCGTAAGCGGCAGAGAGCCGCAATTGTTGCGTCTGGCCCGGCCACGGGCTCTGCTCGGCAGTGGCTGTGAGCTCCAGTAGAGCCTGGGTTGGAATTATTATAAGGGTCTAGTGATCTCGAGATGCAACTCCAACCATGCAGATGGAAATTCACGCATGGGAAGGTTTAGGGTGCTTATTGCAATCCCCTTCCCTAGAACCAATCAGTTCGATCATTATGTAAAGGCCCGGAGTCTTAGAATTGCTATGGATGCCGGCCCAGCGGCACTGGCTGCTGCCTCCGGACTCAGTGCCAAGTCTAAAATGTGCAGCAAGTCCGGCCATATTCGTGATAAGGAAACACCGCCCACGTATGCCCAAGGAGATCGAGCGATGAGAGCGATAAACTCGGGGAAAGTTCTCATCCTTAGTATTCGGTTTCTTTGTACGGCGGCCTATAGCCATCCCATCCCTGTCTTGGGATCAGGTCACTCCCTGAATCCGACCCAAAAGCAATAGTGCAGCAAGCATTCGTTTGGCGGTGCGGAGCTGCTGGTCCATGCGCAGTGTAGAGCAGTGGCGAATTGGTAAGGCGGTTCGCCTTTCGATAGTTGTTTCGGATCGATGTGCGTGATTAGTGTAATTCCCGATCCCAGCTATGTTATATATAGGTGATTAAGGATCTTCGAACCTTATCACAACATGCTGCCCCCAACATCTTATTAGGAGCTGATACCATTTTTTCAGACCCAGTGGCTTTGCAATACCAGCAGCATTGCTCCGAAACCCAGGATTGGTCGATTTGCAAGCATTTCTTCAGCCACTGCTGATCTCCTTTCATGCCTGCCCAGACGAATCGGTAGCCTCCGCATAAAGTTACGCAAGCATCCTCTCCACCGGGAAGCGTTTGACCCCAGGCGTCGTAGTGGCTGGTTTTGCCGGCAGCCAGCTGCGCCAGCGACCATACGAGGTAATGATCGAGCTGCTTGGCCTTGGCTGAGAACTACAGATGTTACCGCACGATGCCCTACGTGGCCACAGATGTGGTCCCAACCTCAATTTATATCCATGAATCCACTCATCAACCATCCTTCCTATTCGAAGGCTTTTCGATTATGAATCAAGCACCGGGTCACGGTTCCAGGGGCTGTTTGGTCACTGTCCAGGACATAGCAGGGGAACAGGACGTCGTAGGTGCTCCCCCGGGTGATGGGGCTTCTTATAGAAACGCACAAAAAGCTTCGCCTCTTGTGAGCTTCGGCGTCATCGCCGTGCACTTCTATGGGCACCGTTCGTAGCAGCTCGTTTTCCTCAGATCAAACATCCCCGAACCGATCTAAATCAAGAAACCATACTGCAAATAACCCAGGATACAGCCGCTGCTGGTCCACGCTGCCTTTTGCCGCCCAGGATCAGAAAGCGAGGCGAGCCACGGATGGTTCTCGAACCACCTCAATGTGTTAATTGCCCATGGTATCCCTGAAGTTTTGTTTAGGCAGATGATCATTATGGGATTGTACCAGAGCTAGACATCATGCACATATAGTTTTAGGAAAGGCGTTTCAGGTTTCTGCGACCGAACAGGCAGAGTATCGATCTGCAAGGCAATGGTTATATGTTGTATTAACTTGGGCCCTGTAGCTATTGGATAGATATCAGCTCTTCGAAGTGCAGCTTCGACAGTTATGCTGTTCCCAGTATCCCGATATAGACCCTAAGGCCAAACAAAGTCAGCACGGATAGTTCGATCGATCGATATGAGGAAGCGCTGAGTCGAGAACTTTGCTGCTTTAATTCCGGGAATTGAGAATTTTAAAACCCGAGCCCCGGAAATAATAGCACCCCGACCTTGAGTCCGTAAGCCATATAAGCAAGCATACGCACGATCGATATCAGGAATTGAATCCCAGACGGCTATTCGATCGCAAACCCTGAACATAGTAGATTCCCAGCGTCGATCTATATATAATCTATATATCTATAGAGCACCATAGTCCCGAACCCTCAAGATTAACCCAACCCCGGCCTCTAATCCCATATATATATATATATATATATATATGCAACGTTGTAGCCATATAAAGTGCAGCGTCGAGTGGCTCCGTCCCTCTGGCATGTTGCCAGAATCGCTCCAGCTCCTGGGCATGTGATGTTATATGGCTATATGGAATCAGTCCAACTATCATTCAAGCATTCCACCCCGAAGCTTCTTAGCCCCGACACCATCGCTCCCCGAGTAAACCGCAACCCCGAACCCTATTTCTACTTCTGTGTCAGGGCCGACAGCTCCAAAGCTCCGATAGTAATCGAATCCGAAGTCTTGGGCCCGATATAAAGCTTTACACCCCCGATCTTTGAACCCCTGCATCCAAACTCTTCCAGGTCTGAAGCCTGACCCTAAGCCTTAACATATCACTCGAACCGAAATTGTGTACCTCCGACCTGGTCACCCGAAGCTCACTGTGGAACCCCTGCATCCAAACCCTTGAGTGCCTATACAGCATACCCGCAAGCAACCATAATTTGCATTATCCATGGTGCGGTAGAGGGACCCCCTCATATGGAAGCAGTGTCCAACATAGCGAGGATTCGCAATTATATCTTAATTAGGGTTTGGGCGATTAGGCTCATGCCATGCCAAGGCCATTTCGTTGCTTCACTTATAGCATGCTCGGAGCGTATGTTCGCATGTACGGCAGGGTAATGGACTCGATCAGTGTTTAAGATGTTTTCTCTGTTCACATATATAGGGCAGGATAAAGGGACTTAGTGTTTAGGATCCTTTCTATATAGAGGCCTCTATAGGGAACATTCCCCAACACAGAACTCGTATTATTATATAAAAGAATTAATCTCAACCGGCATGAGGTGCGACATCGAGGAGCTCGTGGCACTCTTGCTCCGGGCTATCTCCGGATTGGAAGGTCATGGGTCACGGGTTAATTTGCCAGTGGCTTAGGGCGAGATTCAGGGAACCACTATACCACGTTTAGCTCTAGCTTGTGCTCTGTTCCCCTAGAAATGTCTTGATCAGAATGCTTTCAAAACCAATAGTGCAGACGAGTCACTCCATCTTCTCCAAGAAAAAATTTCTTGAATCGATTTTCAGAATAATGATAAATCGTGTGTATCCTTAGCTGGTGTGGGGCACACGAGATCTGCCATGTGCCGCTTCAGTTGCAGGGAACGACTAGCAAGAACATTGCGGATTATTGCTTGACCGCGAGGCATCTCGTGAGGATAGAGCATATGCCATTTGCCCACATAGAATTCAGCCGTGGTCGGATTCTTGAGTGTGACCTCCACCCTTGGTTCGGATCAGATCATAAATTATCGGGGTCAGTAATTTCATTAGGGTTCGCCGGGGCATTCCTTATGGTTCCGGGGTTCAGACTTTGAGGGCTCGAGCTCCAGGGTGATCTATAGGGTTTAATGATCTTAGTTAAGGAAAACTGGTGGCTTAGAGTTTTGGGTGCAGGGTCCGTAGAAATTTCGAGGTCGAATACCGGTTTAGGAATATATAGCTTCGGTTAACATACAGCGCGACAAGACCGAATCTGAAGCCTCTTGCAAAGCACATCAATTAATGAGCATGTTAAATTTTGCATATAACTCCAAACCATGCAATCCCTCAAATTAAACCTCCAGACCCAGCCACGGCGACTAATACCGCTGCTATAAAAGCTGAATATTCTAACTGCCCCCGGATCATATACCTGGTGCGCCTAAGTTGCTGTAAATAAACCACTCCTGAACCAAAAGTAGCGCCTTGGCGTCGAAGCCCCAAATTATTGGGACTGCAAACAAGAATTAGCGACTTTAGTGTAAAGGCCCAGAATCCTTACAAATCTAGTCTTTATATGTATGTTATGTCACTGGCTCGGGCTAGAAAGTTAAGAGGATACACAAACATTGCTCGTGTTGTACACCGATCGAAGTTATTAAAGAGAGGCATGCGCAACTTTGTACAAGCTGTTAGCTTGACGACTCATAACTGGGTTTTAGGAATAGTTTCGGTACTCGGGAAATTAATCGGGGTCTTGTGCAGACCACTCGCGCCGAACTTTTGCAGCTGCTGTCAGATCTCGGCCATTTCGGCATGTTCGAAACCCTAAACCCCATTATAAACCCTAAACCCCATACACCCTACAATTAAAAGGACATTGTCGGGAGCTCGCGATTCAGAAAGGGTCGGGTTCACTGGTCATTGCTATATATCCTTTCGAACAACCTCTAGAAGACCAGACCACTAGTCAAAATCAGGAAAACCCTCCACCATCCTTTTAACCCTAATGTGCAAGGTTAACACGGAACAAAAATGCAAATCCACGAATATCCCCGAAGACCACAACAACCACCGGTTTCAGAGTGCCACCGCTGAATGGCCTTGGATGCTGTCGAGACTCTCGAGATCTTCGTTCGGAGGACGGTCGTGGTGGGAGTGATTCAGGGAGATTGTGGTGCTTCGGGGGGTCAGCCGACCATACGATCTACTGAGCATGCCCCAAAATTTACCGATGTGGTTGCACGCATCTACACAGACACTTTACATTCGCAGGATGTGGTGATCGGTGTCTACACTGGCGATACCGAGCTACATGCAGTGAAGGCCTGGTGTGGATGGGGTCCACGACTGATGTAGTCTGTATGTATGTATGTATGTATGTATGTTAGGCACACACTGCGTGTGCAGAACAATTCTAACCCTAATCATACACAATACAGTTGCCTATATAAGTAGTTTGTGTGCAGGTGGCGGACCTCGGCGACTTCACGGTGGGGTGCAACGAAGCGTGCATCAGAGGCGGGATGTGGGGCTGCACCCGTTCATCCGACATACCAGCCGATTGTACAAACTCGGACATGTGCTGATTCAGCAAACATTCAAAAAGCTTCCCCACTCTAAAGAGCTTCAATCTGCAGGCTGGCGGCTGGCTGGATGCGGAGATCACCAGCGGGCCCTCCTTTGCACGTTTACTGGTGTCGTGGGTCTTGGGTTTAGTTTGGATCTAAATATATATAGGGCTACAAAAATTCAGCTTCTCACGGGCTTAAGGTTTTAATTAGGGGCTGAGCTCGGGATGCCGACTTCGATTGCGCGTGAGGGTTGTGTCAGTTCGTGGGGTCTTGATTTCACGATAGGGCTTGCTTGCTCATGAAGCCAATATCGTGGGAATCCGATTAATAAAAACTGTTCACTTTCGCAGTCTTTCTTGATCGAGGGCATCACCTGTTCAGCCCAGGGGCTCTGTGTGTTGATCCCATGGTTAACCTTGCCTTCGCGAAGCGGTGGGAGTGTGTGCACACAATCCGTGCGAGATTTCGCCGTCGTGACGGTGAGTGGCTAGTGATCAACAAGAACGATGAAGGTGAACCTATCACTCAGTGCAAGGAATCCTTGAAGCAGAATTATGAAATGATTCGT